CGCTCTGAGCTGGGGTCAGTGTCTTCTCTCTCTCTCTCTCTCTCTCTCTCTGTCTGTCTGTCTGTGTGCTCTTCTGCCGCTCTGAGCTGCGGTCAGTGTCTTCTCTCTCTCTGTGTCTCTCTCTGTCTGTCTGTGTGCTCTTCTGCCGCTCTGAGCTGGGGTCAGTGTCTTCTCTCTCTCTCTGTCTCTCTCTGTCTGTCTGTCTGTGTGCTCTTCTGCCGCTCTGAGCTGGGGTCAGTGTCTTCTCTCTCTCTCTCTCTCTCTCTCTCTCTCTCTCTCTCTCTCTCTCTCTCTCTCTCTCTCTCTCTCTCTCTCTCTCTCTCTCTCTCTCTCTCTCTCTCTCTCTCTCTCTCTCTCTCTCTCTCTCTCTCTCTCTCTCTCTCTCTCTCTCTCTCTCTCTCTCTCTCTCTCTCTCTCTCTCTCTCTCTCTCTCTCTCTCTCTCTCTCTCTCTCTCTCTCTCTCTCTCTCTCTCTCTCTCTCTCTCTCTCTCTCTCTCTCTCTCTCTCTCTCTCTCTCTCTCTCTCTCTCTCTCTCTCTCTCTCTCTCTCTCTCTCTCTCTCTCTCTCTCTCTCTCTCTCTCTCTCTCTCTCTCTCTCTCTCTCTCTCTCTCTCTCTCTCTCTCTCTCTCTCTCTCTCTCTCTCTCTCTCTCTCTCTCTCTCTCTCTCTCTCTCTCTCTCTCTCTCTCTCTCTCTCTCTCTCTCTCTCTCTCTCTCTCTCTCTCTCTCTCTCTCTCTCTCTCTCTCTCTCTCTCTCTCTCTCTCTCTCTCTCTCTCTCTCTCTCTCTCTCTCTCTCTCTCTCTCTCTCTCTCTCTCTCTCTCTCTCTCTCTCTCTCTCTCTCTCTCTCTCTCTCTCTCTCTCTCTCTCTCTCTCTCTCTCTCTCTCTCTCTCTCTCTCTCTCTCTCTCTCTCTCTCTCTCTCTCTCTCTCTCTCTCTCTCTCTCTCTCTCTCTCTCTCTCTCTCTCTCTCTCTCTCTCTCTCTCTCTCTCTCTCTCTCTCTCTCTCTCTCTCTCTCTCTCTCTCTCTCTCTCTCTCTCTCTCTCTCTCTCTCTCTCTCTCTCTCTCTCTCTCTCTCTCTCTCTCTCTCTCTCTCTCTCTCTCTCTCTCTGTCTGTGTGCTCTTCTTCCGCTCTGAGCTGGGGTCAGTGTCTTCTCTCTCTCTCTGTCTTTCTCTGTCTGTTTTTGTGCTCTTCTTCCGCTCTGAGCTGGGGTCAGTGTCTTCTCTCTCTCTCTGTCTGTCTGTGTGCTCTTCTCCCGC